ACCTAAACACGGATTTGTCAACACATATGCATGCACATACATATGTTCTATTTTATGGCTTAAGAAGCAAACGTGCGACAGCTGCCGTCGTCTGCCATCTGCGCGACTCGCGTGTTACGGCGGCTTTTATGGATAGCTTTCATTCATTTGAGCCATCAATAGGAGCACTGTAATTGAATATCAATTAAAACATCCGCTAATGACAATTTACATGCATTTCACACGCCGAAAAGCATACATACGTATATACTACATGTGTATAATTGTGCTAATGTATGTATGTATGGCCGTGTGTGTGTGTACTGGCGTGCTTTTCTATTGTCACTATCGTTTCTTTGGAATTCTATGTAGATTGGAAGCGATATCGATAAAATCGTTATAGAATATGTATAAGTGTGTGTGTGTGTATGTATGTTTGTTTATTTATATTTACTTTGAATACAAGTGTTTTTTTTCGGATGATTATTTATTGGCTTTTTATTGGCAGATATGTCATTGGTTTGTCACTTGTGTTGTATACGTGAAATTGAGAAGATTAACTTACACTTATCGTTCGGCAACAAGCAAAAGTGTGCAGCTTAACTAATTGCCCCACTTGAGGCTTATGCGTATCACTCTGCCGATAAGAAGATATTTTATTAACTCGTTTACTGTTCTAAAACTCGGCCATGGATACTGATTTGATACGCTGTGCATATCTGAAGGCATCGGCGAACGGGCGTTCAATCTACTTGTATGAGTTTGCTGAGAAGTGCACGTCGTGTGGAACTTATGTGAAGGGTAAAGGTCTGTACAGTGTGTAAGTACTTAGTCTGCCCATTAAATGTGGTAGAAAGGATATTGGTACTTAGAAATAATATACATACATATATATGTAAAGTGATTGACTTACAATGGCTTCTTGCAAGTCATGTTATTTGCAACGCCATGATCTTGAAATTCTTCTGGAGTATTTTAATTCTGCTATCTGTTACCAAGCGCAACAGTAATTGTGAAGCAAATCGTTGGAGCTCAAGTGCTAAGGCGTCAATACTCACTTATAATACACTTTTCAAGCAAATCAGCTTCATTTTATGACCGTTGTAAATCATGCTTTATCAAATTCGATTTGTACTGAGGAATTTTGATGCCTGGAGTTTGTGACTTATTTAAAAAAAATAAGTGCATGCTCCTCTAGGGAATAAAGCTCTAGATTACCGTGTGTCGGACTGCTGAAAAATATTTGAACGAAATTTTAATATTTTATTTAATTAGTCGCATCCTTCTTGATTGGTATAGGAATCGCCTACACGATTATAGCCGGGTCAATAATACCGCACCAGTCGCTTCTTCTCTTCACGGTTCGGCACCAATGGGAAACACCAAATGAAGCTTGGTCCTTCGCTTCACACAGCTAATCGTTCATGGTGTACGGCATTTGCCATTGCCAATGAGCAAGATTTGTAAATTGTTCGCAATGCCTTTCTTATTGGATTTCGAAATTTTCTCTTAAGTTTACATGGTTTACACAAGGCTCGAACCCATGCCCTCTTTAATTTTCTTACAAATAGAGCGAGCTCTGGAAGCTCGACATTCCCTGCCGAGGAGCTCTAGCAATTAGAAAAGTTAATTTTCTATAACTTTGGATCTCGGTCCTACCAGGACTTCCACCTTGGCCTTCCAAATGGTAGTACGCAATACTGACCACTCGGCTATTGTGGCTGCTTCGACCGAACTTTCTTCGCAATTTCGAAAACCAGAAAATTTTCAACATTTGTTTTTGCTGATTGGGTGAGGCAGAAAATAAGTTCGATAACATTCTATAACAAGGGTATTCTGGCCGAGACAGCTGAATTGGACCGTTTGCAAATTAGTTTAAAAGTATTAATTCGGGATTATGAAAGGCTTAACTAAGGTTTCGTATAATCAGTACATCAACTTGCATTCGATAGCAGATCTACTACAGTATAAAGCGATCATATTTTATAGGCTTCTTGTCTTGTGAACGGCGCTGAAGAAATAGCATTGCCAAGAAACTAGAAGATGTGCGGTGAGCGGCACGATATCATGGGGGGCTGCAAACCATAGGTTGGTGGTGATTGTTGTAATTCCTGTTAACAAGGACCAGGAAACTATTTCCGGATTTATGACCAGCTTAGAGCAGTGTACACGCAATAATTAACACTCTTTAGTCGGTAGCACCGAGAAGAAGATGGATATGGATACTTCTGGTTGGCTTGGGTCTTCTCCTGCTTATTTGATAGTGATGTTAGCTTGGCGAACGCTTGACTAGAACGTATGCGATTGCAAAAGTTTTAGCACTCATTTAGTCGCATGTGTAGATTTTGTTGTTAGTTCAACAGTTGCAAGCAAAGGCGAGAGGACCCTCACGAGTCTTTTTCGACACTCTGCTTGAAATTACAAAGTGAGATAGAGATAAATAACGCCACCTATTGGAAAAATAATGTATTTCTTTTTACTGCACTTAATATTATGCAGAAGCCGAGTGGTTAGCATTGCGTACTACCATTCGGAAGGCGCGGGCTCAAATCCTGGTGCGATTACCATCCAAAATTTATAGAAAATTAATTTAAATAAAAAATTAAATTTAATTTTTCTAATTTCGGTCGCCCCTCGGCAGGGAATGTCAACCCCTCCGAGTGTATCTCGGACATGAAAAAACACTCCTCATAAAAAAAACCATCAGCCGTTCGGAGGCGGCTTAGTATAAATTCTAGGTCCCTTCATTTTTGGAAAAACATCAAGACGCAAAACTACAAATTGGAGGAGGAGCTCGGCCGAAAATCGCTTCAGTGTAGTATTAGCTGGGAAAATACGTCCCCAAGGTCGAATGAAAACACACTTTTAATTATAATCGCCTATTAAAATAATCAAATGAAAAAGTTGTACGTAAGACGAACGTGCGATGAATCACATGACTAGACGAGCTGATTAATTGATAACTTTTCAAGTGCATATTGCTTTTCTAATTTTTTAATTTATTTAAAATTAGGAAAAATGTATTATTTTGTAAATATGAGCATGTGTTATTTTTAAATAATCCGCACCACTTATGCACGCAATTATAGAGCTTTACAGTTAAATACATACGTATCTAGGCACTTGTACGTGTATGCATAGCAAAACAACACTGAATCTCTACTTGAGATAAGAATTGGTAGTTGTCATTTAAGTATATTGAAAAGACACTCATGCGCCGGGGGTGGATGGTACCACAAGAGTAGTGTAAGTGAATTCGAAGCGGCAGAAAATAATATGCGCCGCCGTTGGGATCTTCAGCATTTCCGTTGTCACTTGAAAAATCAAAAAAAAAAAAAGAAGAAGAAATTAGGAGATAACGTCAACAGCATGACTTAGCAATGTTTAGCCGCCACCTTGTTGTTACTGTCGCACTGGCTGCCAAATACTTTTTCCGCTTTTGCTGCCTGCCGCTACTGATGCTGTAGCTGGAGCTGGAACTGGTGCTTTGCTGTGTTCTGGCTACTGCTTAGCCTTTTTATTGCCTGCCGTTTGATGTCGCCACTGCAGTTGTGCTTCGGCTGCTGTAGTTTTCTCGCCGACAAGTGAATTTAATTGATTTCTTGGTATTTTTTTTGCACTTAGTACCCGCCACCGCGACTTTGAGGACGCAGCATGCACGTTCTAATATTTGAATGTACGCTTTTCGTACACCTTCGATTCCGTGTTGTATACTTTTACACGTATGTACGGGGTTATTCATTTTACGATTTCGAAAATAAACGTAAATAAAATGCATTTTAAATAAATTTTTTCGTGAAATAATTTTTTTGTTATAAAGCATGAACCTTTTTGGAAACATCGGTACGTTTGAGGTGATTTTCGACCACTTTTTGGCAAATATTGGGCGGCATCGTAGCCATAACTTGACGAATGTTGGTTTAAAAGTGCTTGAGAGCCCAAAAAAAAGACGCCAATGATATCGCCAAAAAGTAAAGCCATATTCGCTGCTTTTGTGTGGCACGTGGCACCATCTTATTTAAACCACAAATTTTCCAAGGTATGTTCTTCAACTGCTGGCAAAAACCTGTCAATTATCATACGATCATAAAGCTCCGAATTGACAGTGACAGTCTCGCCGTTGTCGTTTTCATGGGAGTAAGAGGTAACGTCTAATCCCACCTCGAGACCAATCATTAATCATTTGAGGATTCTCGCAACAATATTGCGTATCACCCTTGTGTGTCTTGTGGTTGATGAAAAATGTGTTTGAAAAATTGCCGTCCACTGCTTGTTGCTCAAGAGCCCAATCGATCTATATACGGCGTGCCCTACTTTTAACTAAAACAAAACATGTTTGACTTGACAGCCCTGCACTTTTGAAACTACGAAATGAATAACCCTTTTCCCATTTATAATTTTTTTGTTTATGATTTTGCTCCTCATAAATTCTTCGACGGCGATATCTTGCCGTTATCAGGTTGCCCCTACACACCACACACCGTCGTTGCGCCTGCTCAGCGGCCCAAGAGCCAATGACTGGGCTTCGTTTTACTTGTTCTTATCACAAAATTGTTTGATTTTGTTTTTCGCTTTTTCTTTGTTTTTCTTCTTTGTTTTATAGTTTTTTTTTTTTTAATTGTAGCGCTTTAAGTTAAATTACAGTTTCCATTGTTTAGTACTAATTTACTGCTTTCGAAGTCAAGTGCCTACCTGTTTTACCAACACAACAACAACTTGCAACAAAGTGACACGTACCACCAGTGTTGGTGAGATATAAACATACACGTACGCACACTCTCACACATACATGCCGAGGAGAGTACATTTTTAGTTAAAGTGGGTACTTGCCATTGTGACATATTTTGTTGTTGTATTTTTGTATTTTCATTGCGCCACCGCAAATGCACACACGTACGTGTATTTCAATTACAATACAAACAATCGCTGTGTGAGTATGTGTGTGTGTGTGTGTGTGTGTAGGTGTTGTGATATGGTTCATTTGCTACTGATTGTTTTCAATATGTCTCAGCCAGAGTTAAATCTAAAAAATCAGTCTGTTAATCGCCGTTAACGGACTTGGACGTGCAAATCGCTTGCGCGGCTACGGAAAACGAAACAGCAAAAGTGTACACAGTTACACTGGACGCGAAAACGGCGTGATCTGTTTTTTTTTTAAGGAAATTAGAAATTATTAAGCTGAAAAACGAGTGAAATGTTGAATTAATTAATGCAAGTGCCGCTTAAAGACGAATTACACTAACAAAAGGAAAATATATATTAAGGATTAAGTCGTCAAAGGAGCGGTGACAGTGAAAAAACACAATGACGGAGGAAAATGGTATAGTTTAGATCTTACAAGTGATCAAGCATAACAAAATAAATATTTTTTATATAAATATTCATGATTAGGTTTCAGTTAGTTAAATTAATATTAATGAGAGATTATTCTGCATGCAATTTGCGGTTGCATTTCATATTAATCTCGCTTTATAAAAAGTTGTGAAATGCAAAGCGCAGCTTAAACTACAATATTCGCATTAATTTACTCCCATTCATTAACAGTTCTTCCCCCCAGTGCGATTTAGAAGTAATAAATTCTGAGAAACAATTTCGAAATTGCAACAACAAACAAGTTTAAATGGCGTGTGAATGATTTGTGAAATTGTTTTATAGAACTATTTTTATTGCTAATAATTGAAGCTTTGTAACCGCTGAAGCGATCTTCGGCCGAGCTTCTCCTTCAAATTGTGGTGTGCGTTTTGATGTTTTTGCAACAAATGGAATGAAAGATTTCTACTAAGGCGCCTTCGAACGGCTGAAGAATTTTTCTAAGGAGTTTTTATTTCATGTCAGATATACACGCGGAGCGATAGATATTCTCTATCGAGCGGCGATCGTAATTAGACAAATTAGTTTTCTATAATTTTCAGTCGGTTCTATTATGTCCGTTCATCGTGTCACACTAAAACACTAAATAGCTCGCTCAATACGGGTCATATATGTTTTAGCACCTTGGAAATATATGTTTCAAACATAGATTTATCGGTTAGAAGACGCTAAGGTCGAAATATTCATTAAAAATGCTTAATTTGATTTGGCTCAAGCTTAAAGAATTGAAAAAAAATATTATTTTTACACTACGCGAAGGATAAATACATATAAAAAGTCAGAATTAAAGTTATTTGTAATGGAAAAAAATATGGCTGAAGAGTGCCCTGAAGTCGAAATATGTAGCGAGGAATCTAAATTCAGCTTACACGAGCCGGATGGGAGAACTTACGTTTGATGTCTCCCAAATAAAGAATTGGGCCCGAAATATACTAGGAAGACGTTTAAGTTTATAATGTGCAGGCAACGGACAAGCTAGATTTTGTAGCATACCAGAAATAGCTTGAAAATCGTTTTATACCGTTCTTTGAAGACTTACCGTTATCTCTATACACCATCGCAGCTTTCAATAGTACAATGCGCACTGCCAGAAATCAAGGTCTGTGCCCAGAGCCTCTAATATGTTTGTTTGTTATAAAGATGTGTGTCCCTTGAAAATTATTTAATAAATTTTATAGTCTACATATATTTATTTCAATTTCTTCTCGATATTTTAATTTTTTCTTTAATTTTCTTATAATTTTAGTCTATATGAGAGGATGGGCTAACTAAAGTGCCACTCTGTATATACACATTTATTAACTTTAAATTAATTTTTCTAATTGGAGTCGTCCCTGGGCGGAGAATGTCAACTACTCTGTGTGAATTCTTGACATGAAACAAAATGTCCTCATTAAAATTCATTGGCCGTTCAAAGGTGGTGCCTCTATTTCTTTGGAAATATATCAAGAAATACACCGAAGAAAAATGAATGAAATCTTTACGATACGTACGGTCTATATAATTTAATATTTGAAGATTATTTCATGCAAATGTTGACCGTGACTGCACCTCAAATATTCCATCCAATTTTGGCAAACTCTTTCCAACGTTGTCCTCCAATGCGTCAATTGAAGCGGGATTGTCTGTATAGTCATTAGAATTACATAGTCTCAACAGAGTCTCAAACCTGAAGTAAAATGTTCTCCAAACTCGCCTCTCAATAAGTCCATTGTTACCCGTGCTGTGAGGCATGTGGCACCTTCTTGTTGAAACCACATGCCATGCAAGTCAAGCTCTTGCAGTTTGGGCAGAAAAAAGTTTGATATCATCTCACGGTAGCGCTCAATATTCACAGTTGCGTGAATAAGTACGGTCCAATGATATCACCAGCCCATAAACCGCACCAAACTGTGACTCTTTCTGAGAGCATTGGTAGCTCTTGCAATGCTTCTGGCTGTCCTTCACACCAAAATCGACAATTATGCTTATTTAGGCACCCATGAAGCCAAAAATGAGCTTCGAACTTGAGCTGAACTTTCTTAACAGAGCACCCATTTTGATAATAAAATTCAATAATTTGTAAGTATTGTTCGAATGTAGGACGATTCATGGTTAAATTATAGACCAAACTGAAGATGTTTGACAGTGATACAAAACACGAAACGCGCGTAAGCTGCGTAACCCAGCGATGCCAAAAATATAATAGCTAAAAAATCACCCTTCATATATACATATGTATCATAAATTTAGTTTCTTGATACTATTTCTGTTTTTTTTTTTTTTTTTTTTTTTTTGTGGAGATGTCTACCAATAATTGAGGGTCTAATAAATTAAAAATATTGCAGATACAAACGTCTGCTTATGTACATCTGCGAGCATGGTTGCTTATCAGTCAGATTACGATTTATTTACGACCATATTTATATGATATTTAAGGGCATAAAAATTTAAAGATGTTAAGACTACTAATCAATATTTTTTTTTTTTCTAATTCAAGGCCTTATTTAATCCACAAGGGAAAATAAAATATTTAACTCCTTTTATACGTTTCAATCTACTCGTAGTTACATTCTGTTTCGAAAAGTGTCACATATACGAGTAAGTGTTCTCACCACAGTTGCTGTTTAGCTTAACTTCGTGAAATCTTAAATTCTCGGGTCGTATCGCGCCCAGTTGAGATCGGCCAACAGCCAGTAGTCGTTGGTGGGGAGATTTCCCTTTGAACTTAATGAATATTACACCACGAACAAACCAACATTCTGAGGACATAGCGTTTGCACTGTTGTGCTTTCGAAAGCTTTGCACGAAGTTAAACAGATTCTGTAAATTTAGATGGCTGTGGTTTTGAGAACGGATTGAATTGAGGGATGCATCTTTCATCCATTGCTTTATATCGACACGGAAATTCCGATCTGTCATATTTCAATCTAGCCAATTACTGTTCAGAATCATCAACGTGTTCCTGTTTTTGGTCAACAGCGAGTTAATGCTACAATAAAGTCAAATATTTATTTTATATAAAGTCTACACATTCTTTCGGTATCTTCACGATCAGTTTTAACTTCAGGAACTTCACTTTTTGTTAATTCAAAACTATTCAAAGTAATTAAACCGACGTTAAATTTTTGATACTGGTGCAGCGTACTTCTTATAAGATTTTTCATAACTTTTGTATGTTGATGGGTTCAGAACTCGAACCACGGTCTTTCGAATGTTAGTACGCAACGCTAACTACTCGGTTATTGTGGTACAGAATTCGCAAGGTCGTTATCGATTTCTACGTGCAATAAATTGTGCACAAAAACTTATTTGAAATCTATGAAAAAACCGCTTTGAATCGGAATGTGACGTCAACAAATTTTATGAATGAATATTGTAAATAACTAACAAAGAGAGCCATAAATTCGCACTTTCACAAATTATACATATTTAATCTCTATAACTATCATTTTATTACTTGTACGCGACGGCGATAATAACGACGAAAAAGAACGAAAAGTATATCTGTGCATAATGAGAGACATCCGTAGTAATGTTCGGAAACAAAACCGATTAGACACGATTGTAGTAACCATAAAGTTTTATTGTTGATAAATAATAAAATAAAAAATAATTATCATACATATATTTTTGCACATATGTATGTATGTATGTAAGTGAATACATGAGGAAGGGAAAGAAATATAGATAAACTCTTTTCTCAATTGGCATTGCTTACTCATTGCGAATATTAAAAACACCTTAAACGTATTACTGCAGTAGTCGATTAGCAAATTTGGGTGCTGAGTTTACGCTCACTAACCTGTAAGCCACCTGTTCAAGATCTCACGCTAGATTAGAACAAAGGATATTGGCTAGACTAACAGTTAATTGCTGGGATAAAAATAAATATTTACGCAATTCTCTTTACAATCCATCTATTGCGCAGTAATCTCTTTTCATAGTGTTATGTATATGTATATATTTATTTTTAGTATATAAACATTTTTATTAAATCTGGTAATATTTTTAAGGCAATTTTCAACACTTTTTAAGTATTTTCGTTTATTTATATTTTTTCATAGAACATAAACAAAATAATGGCGATGTACAGACCACAGACCCAGAAATTGCTGCAAATGAAAAATCCTCTGCGAATGATGTACAGGAGTCTAGAGTCGAACCTGAGTACGGTCTAGAAAAAGCGATTGTACCTGCTTTAGGCTTACACGAAAAGAATGGCAAAGCCGCTAGCGAGGATAACAACATCGAACCATTAACGAATGTTTCTGAAGCTGAGGGACAAGTTAAGGTTTGTACAAATACAATTTACTTCTTTTATCTTCATAACTCAATAAGAAGATGAAAGATGCGGAGCCTCACAACATTTCAAATGAATTTTTCGTATTCTCCCTTACTTTAAAACGTGATTCTTTACTATCTTATACGTCCGTATGTATACTTGAGAATAAGCCTCAACAGATTTTCCGTTTCTGATTATTTTGTAAGGGAAGCTTTCTTTAGTCATAACTTAAGTAGCGATCTGACAATACGGACAATTTCTACCCGGCTTTTCGTCTGGAACCCCACCTCTTAATCTGAACTGCATTTATCCTCTACTAGGTTTCTCTCTCTCTCTCTCTCTCTCATGGGCTACATTAGTCGAGTGAGTAGCAGTGCGTACTACCATGTAGAAAGTTAGAAGAGATGAATTTCCTTGCCTATGACGGCTACTGGCATTATTTACCAGCAAAATCTAATGAGATGCTGCCACGCATCAGGAAGGACTTCTAGACTACACAAAACCCATTCCCATTAATGTAAGCTCTGCCCTTACGGCTTTAAATGCCGTTCAACGAGAGTTCGCCAAAACCTTCTTCAACTCTCATGCAATGAAAAACGCTTGGAATCTAAGCACCAGCTTTGCAGAGCGGCCTCGACTTAATTTCTACTTATTAAGACTTGTTCCCGACATATTCAACTACACTAGCCATCACTTTGCATGTCTCTTAAAACCTACTAATCCAAGTCCCATTTCTCTCTGGTCCGGACCTGTCGAAACAGCTCGTTTCTGAAACCTCTTGTTATAATATAACCTCGATGACGTAGACCTGCTTATTCTGCTCCTAAGAGTGGTTACTGTCTTCTTGTTTAGGAAATATTCTTAGTATGAAAAAACAACTAATGGATAATGAAAAAAGTATTATTTGTACCCTCCCGGAGATATCCGAGCTTACAAAAATACGAATTTTTTTGAAAATTTCTTGTAGATATTAGTTTTGGCCACTGTACCACCATTATACCACTATGCTAATCAGCATCTGCGCCTTATAACATCATGCGGTTTTTATGAAAAAATAGAGAAGATATTTAATACCTCGCTTATGCTTTCTTTTATAAAGCTTGCGTAGAGTCCGCCATAGTGGAAACCCAATATCTAAGAAAATGAAACTGCTTGCTTCTATTCATTCCATATAAATTTTCTGACCTAAATTCCTCAAAGCCAGGGTTCGGTCAATATCCAAAATTACAAAAAAATTAATTTATCTAATTGCGGTCGTCACTCGCCAGGGAATGTCAAATCTTCCGAGTGGGGCGGCTTAATAATATGTATGTCATTTGATTTCGAAAATATAATACAATTATGATTTATTAAACTCGATTGATGATGATGATGATGCGAAATCCTTATCAGAAAGTAAATACACGCTAGATATCACGTCTGCTTTTAAGTACATATCTATACAAATATTTACATACATATGTACATTTTTATTAATTTCAAGCTCGTTTTAAAAATATCTCATTTTATTTTTAGAAACTTCCCTATCCAAAATCGGTATTTTTTATCATCAGCAACGAGTTCTGTGAACGCTTCAATTACTATGGCATGCGAAGTAAGTAAAAATCATAAAATAAATATACATAATACACTGCGTTTCATAATTATAACACATTGACTTAGTGAGAAGTTTTGATAATTTTTTTGCTGTTATTTATTTTAAATTTTTTTTTAAATTTTATTTATACATTTTTTGTTTTTAAGAAATAAATGAAAATAGGTAAAATAATAATGAATCATTTCATGAATAATATTATAAAAATATTTACATACATATGCACATACATTATCATTAAAAAATTGAGATAATGCAACTCTTAGTACATTTGTATCTCTTCTCTCCCTCTCTTACCCACAGCCATTCTCGTTTTGTACCTGAGCCGCCAACTTAATTATGATGACGATACCGCCACTGTTATATTCCACATTTTCACTATGCTCGTCTACTTTCTGTGCGTCTTCGGTGCCATCATTTCGGACAGTTGGTTGGGAAAGTTCAAAACAATACTCTACCTCTCTCTCGTCTACGTTGCTGGTTCTACATTGGTTGCGCTCGGTGCAGTGGGTCCGTTGAATTTGCCTGGGGTCACATTTACAATGATCGGTTTGGCGTTAATAGCTTTGGGTTCGGGCGGTATAAAGCCGTGCGTTTCCGCCTTTGGTGGTGATCAATTTAAAATGCCCGAACAAGTTAAGCAAATGACAACATTCTTCTCGCTCTTCTACTTTTCAATTAATGCTGGTTCATTGATTTCGACTACAGTAACACCGATTTTGCGTGAAGATGTGCATTGCTTTGAAGAGAAAGAGTGCTATTCGTTAGCTTTTGGCGTGCCGGCTATTCTCATGGCTGTCTCGATAAGTGAGTATGAAAAAACGATGGGTTTGCGTGTGTTCGCACTAAGAGTTACTTTATTTCACTTTAGTTATCTTTGTACTGGGTCGTCCACTCTACAAGAGTAAACCACCTGCAGGCAATATGGTAGTGCTGGTCAGCAAGACCATTGGTGTGAGTACACTTGAGGTATATGCGAGATGTTTTAATATATATTAACGGTACTTCTCTGGTAAATATAGAACGCAATTGCTACCAAATGGAAGGAGAAGAAGACCAATCCACGCGAACACTGGCTGGACTATGCGGATAAGAAGTATGACCGTCAACTGATCGAAGATGTTAAGGTGCTGATGCGTGTTTTGGTACTCTACTTGCCACTTCCCGTCTTTTGGGCACTGTTCGATCAACAGGGTTCACGTTGGACCATACAAGCGACACGTATGGATGGCGATATGGGCTCATGGGATATTAAACCGGATCAAATGCAAATGATAAATCCTTTCTTAATTCTGGCTTTCATACCGCTCTACGAACTCGCCTTCTATCCACTGCTCAGCTTAATTGGTATACGTCGGCCTTTGCAGAAGCTCACTTTGGGCGGCATTTTTGCAGGTATTGCCTTTGTCGTATCCGGTCTGGTCGAGCTAGAGTTGGAGGTGAGTTAAATGAGCTGTTGTAGTGAAACTGGTTTTGCTACTAAAGTAAGCTTGTACTATTTTCTCACAATTTAATTTTTATTAAAGTAATTATTTCGTTCTTTTTCTAGAAAACCTATCCAGTCTTACCAACGGCAGGAAATGCACAACTCCGAGTCTACAATGGCGAGCCTTGCGATTATGCGATCACTACGAATTTAACGGGTTTGGGTTTCGATGTAGCGACACTAGACATGTTTGTGAACCGCAGCATCAGCATCGACTATACCAATAAGCTCTATGTACAGTTCGAATTCTCGCAGAAATCCGGTGTAAACTGTTATGAATTTCCCAAGCAAACATTTGTCTTCAACTCCACAACAAGTCATTACTTGTTTATGAATTCGAAGAACACTGCACAGCCTTTAGTATGGGCAGAGGACTCTATAAGTAAGCCCAGTCGTGGCTATCCGCTTGCACGTACCCTGGCAAACGTACAGTCAAGCCGAACGATAGAATGGAGAAATAAAAAGGGTTCACTTGAACACACCGAGCCAGCAAATTTACGAAATGTGACAGAGCTGAAGTCGGGCTATTATGACATTCTGGTTGATAATGTAGTAGTTGCCAACGAATATCTGAAAGTTGGTGGCATTTACACAGTCATTATAAATGAGGAAACAGCAGGCAGCTACAAAAGCAAGATCGTAATTGTAACTGATCCTAACTCAATGTCCATTTTCTGGCTAATTCCCCAATACGTCATCATGACACTCGGTGAGGTTATGTTCTCCGTCACTGGTCTTGAGTTTTCTTACTCACAGGCGCCAGTAACCATGAAGTCTGTGCTACAAGCTTGTTGGCTACTTACCGTGGCATTCGGTAATGTGATCGTTGTCATTATTGCCGAACTGAAACTCTTCGATTCGCAAGCGTCTGAATTCTTCCTCTTTGCCGGTCTCATGTTTGCCGATATGATTGTTTTCATGCTCGTCGCTTACCGCTACAAGCCGAACAATCCGGCGCCGCATAGCGAGTCTGAGCCTTTGACACCACCGGAAGAAAATGAGAAAGTTGGCATTGATAATGTGGCCAAGGCAATTGATGAGTAGACTTAACTTGTTTGTAACGATGAGTGTACAAATAAATGCGTATGTAATCTAATATTAATTAATATTGGTTTTGTACTTAATGACTTTATAAGTTATTTATTAATAAATAACAAAAAATAAATATAATATGAACAATAAATGTAGTAGTAAATAAATACAAATAAATAAATAAACATTATAAAATAAGAAATATATTCGTACTAAATTAAAAACGGAAATCTTTTGAACAAAAAAGAAAAATGAACCAAAGAGTGGTTTGTGATTGAACTTTGAATGTTGTGGGGGAGCCAGCAGTCTAGACCTAACATAGACTAGAGCGGTTTTCGTAATTGATATTATTGCCAGTTTTAACGGACTATAAACGAAAGTGTGTTGCTATTAATGTTGTTGCAGCTGTAGACTACAACAGGACCTCATTAAGAAAGGTGGTCCAGACTTTTGATACAACAACCTCAACTACCAAACCACCTTGATGCTGATAAAAACTCTTTTATAACGTTTTACCACCCCTACATAGGAGTGAAAGAACCTAAGTGTTCATCTAATGGAAGACTACTTACATGTAAGGGTTCTGGTTTGATCTGTCTGTAATCCACACTAAGACCTTATGCATTTTTAGAGAGTCCACTGCTTTAAACAGTATTAAAAGGCACGATGGCCAACGGCTAGAGAGAAGGCCAGCTCTTCCATACCTTTCCCTCTGGTTCCAGGAAGCTGGCGGTCCATCACTGACCCTAACAGTTGTCTACTTGAGCAAGATGTGGAACGCTGCCAGTGTTCGGGGAGAGATTTTATCACCCCCTTCGTAGGTACTAATTAAGCAAAACTGACCTTCGCTCACTATGTTGGGTTACAATTAAACTTTGCTACTAAAGCGGACGTCTTTTTTGAGGGAATTGTTCCCATAAGCTTTCCGAAATATCTACTAGAGGTCAATCGGAGTGTCCCACGCAATCTTGCTTCTTTTCTAACAAGCGCTTAAAATTAGATAGGTGACTGTGAGTTGGGTCTTTCCGGGCTTGTTAAAGTTTGACCTGCGGAATTATTCCTGTGCCAGGTTTAGGCGGATTTCACAGGGTAGTTCGAACTCATTTTTTATTTCCTTGGAACAAGATTTAGCGCCAACAGCAATGCCAGCATGGAAATCTAACGGAGAATTACTCTTTCCAACAGGTGCTATTTTCAGTTGAGTAGGCAATTGTAAAGGACCTCGACGACTAAAAACCAAACTACGCAAGTCGCTCATCATTCTCGTCCTATTGTAAGGTTCGGAAGCATGGTCAGTGACAACATTTGATGAGTCGGCGTTGAAAGTTTTCGAGAGAAAGGATTTGTAGAGATTTGTAGAACTCTGTGCGATAAAAGCTACGCAGCCCATAGTTAGCGAATCAAGAGACAGTGACTGCGTTGACTAGGTCGGTTGAAGATAAAATAAGATTAAAAAACGAGTTTGCTATTTTTCTCACTGCCCACTCTATTTATTTCACGTTACAAGAATATACTAGAATAAGAATAATACAAAAAAAAAAAAAATTTTTATTTTGTAAAATTAGATTTGGTAGAAGTTTCTCCATTACACTACTACTGTATATACCATACATAATATCCTGAATTAAATATACGTATGTATGTATATAAATATTAACTATATTTAGTCGTTAATACTTATTTTACATAAATAAAAAATAAAATATTCCCTCAAACATGAGCTCAGCTCCGGCAATTGTGACGGTCTCAAAAATTACACAAACAAAAAAGGCCATATACAAACATACATATAAACATTTATAGCAAATGTCAAAAAGTTTACAAGAAATATTTGACGCAACATAAGAATAACAACTACATATACATACATACATACATATATAGACTAAAACTAAATGCATGAATTCCGCAAATACACCCAAAAAATATACTAAATACGACGTAAAATATTAAAAAAATAATAAAAAAATAAATTAAAATTGAAATTAAGAATTGAAGCACAAATTTTGTATAAAACATAGAATTATAATAAAATCCAACCTTATCACACACAAATATTGCATAGATTAATTAAGTAAATATGTAGATGAGCACATTGGGATATGCCCACTGCCAAGTCAACGTCCTTGCTCATCGGCGATCGCGCTAAATGCCAACGAAGCGTCTAGAAGAAGATCTTAAGGTAAGTTAAGTGTTGAGCCATAGTCTGGAACAGCAGCATTTGGCGGCAATGGCGGAAGCAACGACGCGCTTGACGGTCATGTCACGGTCTCCGTCTCAACATAACCATTGTGTATGTAGCCGGTAGATGGACTGCCGATGAGACCCGCTTTCGTTGGACCATACGATAATGTTGGGTGTTTTTCGCTAAAGTCTAGTATTCGTTCGAACACCGCATCCAAACGACAATGACTGACTGTATAGTGCAGACGATGTTCATATTGTTCCGAAAGTGAATTCAATTCACTAAACAGATCGGCTAAAGTAATCACCTTCTGGCTCTGTGGGGGCACCATTGCATCGACATCATTCTGGAAGACGGGAGAATGGAGAATTATTTAAAATAATTACTCAGCCTGAAAAAGGGAGGGAGCGAACAAAAGTTGCTCAAGTATCTAGTTCCAAGGGAACACTTACCTCACGTGGTCTGGCTGTTTGGATTTTGAGACTAAACTTTATGGAGTGCGGATAAGTCTGGAAGTCGACACACTGCGGCAAACGCATGTGAATGGCCTAAAAGTTTGAACGAAAAATAAGACGCTTTTGTTAATTTAATTTAATCTCTATTTACTAACTTACATACTTATGCATATACCTAAACTTATTATCCAATGGGTAGCATATTTATTTCAAGTATTAGGAATTTATAGTGAAACTTCTAAAGGCAAACTTCAAAATTGTGTAAATATTTTTATACTTGGCTTTGGCCTGTGCACGGGGTTATAATTGTTCAGTTAACGGTGTTTTTTAACTGCATAAAATAAACGAGATAGGTATGGACATGCACGTATATATTTATCTGAAACTTCATTGCGCGTCTGTCCCTGTATTCGATAACTCCAGTAAGAATGAGATATTTTGATGAAATTTAGTTCACACATTTCTCGGGTCACAAGTAAGCGTAATCGGACAAAAACTGTACCTTCTGTTCCCGCTTGACAGGAGCTCAATCAAGCTTGGTAGGTCTGCTACTTTTAAATGGGACTATGGCCCTAGAAAAACAATGTAACAGCGCAGCTTAGTCGTATGTAGAGTGTCCGGAAATACTATGAACGTAATATCGTCTGAGTGAATTCCAATGGGAAACCAGTTCAGCTTTACCCAACCTTGCCTACCAAAAAAAATTGACTCTCTATCTTGGTCTTCTATAGTAGTTTTGTCCGATCTGTGGACTATGTCTCGAATATTAAATAAATTTGATGGGAAAACTAACGTGGATCCTCGAAAAAGCCTATATCCCATACCTTGCCATAATATATAAAAACTTCAGACGGAGTATAATATTCGATTCGGCCAGAATAGATATGTAACAAGAAACCGAGATTCAATGCAGAGTTTTAAATATTTAAAATTCTTGGAGTTCTCCGCCAAAACCAACAAAACTTACCTTCTCCACCGACTCAATCAATTGGTTGTCACCGTATATCACAACATTATAGTAGCCACCGTATTGTTTATTCAAACTCTCCGGACTGCTGCAGGTTAATATCTGTCCTTCCTTGAGCACAGCGATGCGATGACAAATGCCATCAATTTCCGACACCGAATGCGACGTAAGTACAACTGCACGCTGGACGGCGAGTAACTCGTGTATGGTACGATAGACAATAGCACGCGTGACCGGATCCATGTCGCTGGTGGGCTCATCCATCAGCACCACTGTAGTACGGCCGCAACAGGTGAGTGCCACTGTCAGTTTCCGCTGATTGCCGCCACTCAAATTCTTCACCAAGACATGACGGTACGACTTCAGTTGGAATGACTCAAGTATGTGCTCGATTAGCTGTCAAGAGTTAAACAGAAATTCAAATAAAAATTTGTCAAAATACAGTCTTCTATTTTTGTTTTTTTTATAAATAAATTTAAGTGTTTCATACTTTAAAATTTCAAAATTTATTAAAGCAAATTGCTCTAACGAACATTTGTTTCCGAAACTCATCCTTCCACCGATTGTAGAAACGCAAGAGTAAACTGAGGAAAGTTGTACGCTGACGATAAGGTCAGCAGTTAACATTAAGACCACCGGCAAACGCAAGCAAAAGAAAGCTCTAAAGAAGTTATGAATATGACGAAGTGCTGTAAGGATTGCGATCGTCTGCAGCCACGCTCCTCGGGCAGCGCTCCCGTGCGTCCGGAATTTCAGCAGCCAACCATGTACGATCACTTTCAGAATTTTCAACGTTTCAAATTGCAGAAACAAGAAGAGCAAGCCATCGAGAAGCGTAAAGAAGAGCTGCTCAAAATGAACACGAATTTTACCAATTGGAATCCGAGCTGCAACAAAGACATGTTCGATGAGTTTAGTACGCAGGACGTAGCATTATTTCGGCAGCAAATTCGTTTAGCGCAAAATGGTGAGCGTTCAATGCTTGAGAGCCTATCCGCAGTCACTGAAGCGGCTGCTTCAAGCACGGGTGATACCGCGACTGCAACCGTTACGGGTACGGGCACGGGCACAGGCGCAGGCACTGGCACACCGGGTGACAAGTCTCTGAAGAAGAAAGACTCTCTACTGACTATCTCGCGCACACCAGTCGTATGTCCGATTGGCGCTTGTGGACGCACCATAGGCGTGACGTCCGTGCTCTCGCATTATCTGCGCGACCACAGCGAAGATTTCGGTGTACAATGTCAGGAGATTTATGGTGGCAAACGTTCGGTGTTAGTTTTTGATGCCACTACATTGGAATTTCGTGACAATGTCTGCTTGGGTGTGCTGGCGTATGGTGGCGTAAAGGAGAAGTGGTAAGTAGCAACCAAGAAACTATTAACATGTGATTGCACCTCAAATATGCCTTTGTTCATATTCACAACTGCAGCTCAGATCCGCCTGCACTACGTGGCATTTGCATACACAACGCCTTTCTACCGAAGCCGCACGAACATCTCGACGCGCACTTGCCCATTCTGATTATGGCTTGTCGCACCTCGTGGAGTGCGCTGCTGGAAGACAAGGAGCTCGAGACTAAAATAACAAAACTGGAAAATGTGAATCAACACCTGCTGGTCCTTTGGCTGGTGAGCGTGCAGTCCACCAAGCCGATACATTGCACCCTAACGGCCTACGATAAGACGATGACGTCATCGCGCAGCATTATCGCACAAGTGCGCCAGCTGAACGAGTCGCAAAACCCGAGTGAGTTTCTCGTTAACGATGTGAATAGTTTGCGTTTGAATTGCGGCGAAATCAATATGCTCTCACATAACGGCAACGAATGCATTCATCTGGAGGTTATGATCAACGAATATGATCAATAAAAAATTATTTCTTGAATATTCTTATTTACGCAAAGATTGCAAGAAATGAAGCAGTAGACATACATGTGTGTACGTGCGTTGCGTGTTTCTTTCATAAATGTATCGCATGTTTGGATATCACACTGTGATTAAATTACCTATACGAGACGAGTATATACCGTGTTTTCCTTCCTAAGCGCGTTCTTTTCATTGGGCTGCCTAGTCTTAACACGTTTGAGTTGTTTAACTTACCTTCTCTATGTTAGCGACGCGACGCAAGTTGCCATAAAATCTTATGCTTTCTTCCACCGTCAGCAGAGAGTCCAATGGATTCGTCTGTGGGCAATATGCGATCTCACCCTATGAAGAAGATGATCATATTTTAGAATGTGTCCATAAGTATTTGTTTTTAAAAGAGAGAATTTGTTGAATTTTACGATAATCAAAAAGATTTTTTAAATTCAAAAATAGATTTTGAATATTTAAAAAAAATTATATAGTCGATTTAAGAACTTTATTTCATTTAAATATTTCTTTCAATTTTCTCATTTCTCCCGTGTTCTGGTCGAATTCCGACCAAACCAACATACACATCCCCTAGTCCGGGGAAATCACATTTCCGTGAGTATTTCTAATATGAAATAAAATGATGTGAAGAGGTACGTGGCCAATTGGAAGTAGGTGCTGTGCCGAAAACCCATTCAGCGATTGGTTAAACTAATCTTTTCAGTCTGACATTTCAAAAACATTGCAAATTATTTAGCAAATCTTAGATCAATAATGATTTTTAAATATGTTTTTGCCTCTGTATCAAATTCTCTTAACATAATTTTGAGTTCTAAAAAATGAATAACATTTCCAAATTCAATTGTTCTCTTCCATAATTAATTTTTCATTTCATTCACTCACATTGAAGTAATTGACAGCACCCACATTCGGCTGCAGCTCGCCAGAGAGCATTTTGAATATCGTCGATTTTCCCGTGCCGTTCTTACCGAGCAGGCCGAAACATTCGCCCGCCTTAACGGCGAATGTAACATTCTTCACCACATACTGCCCGCGATTGTAGCTCTTGCAGAGGTTATCCACTTTCAATACTTGTGGTGTGTCATCCTTTTCCGCACGTTTGAGTGAATTTTGTATAGAAACAATTTTCAACTCCTCTGCCTGACTATGCGCGTACTTCTCGTAGAATGGTAGACGATTGAAGACAGATTCGCGCAAACGGTAGATCGTGCCATTCTCCAAGAGTATATTCAATATGATGAAGAACACGCCGAGTACGAATAAGGCGAGCATATGTGGACGTAACAAATCACTGGAAACCGGATTTTTATACGATTCGATATCATAACGTTGGAAGACAAGTGAAACCATATAGTTTTTACAGATCTCTAGTAGGCCATCGCCCAGTGCGTGTTGCGGAAAGATAAGGAACGCACGATTGAGGAAGTAACGCCAATCATCCCACACCTCTGAGTCACCAACGACGCCCATAAATATAATAACGCCCAAAGTGGCGAGTGATATCATGATGTTGGAACAGAATATGGTCACTATGGCAACGCTTGAGTCGTTGAAACATTTCTCGAACACATGCACGCCAGGTATGCAGGCGAAGCTGAGAGTTGAATTTAATTAGAATTTGTATTAGAAACTTATTTTGTTTTAAAACTCACGCAAAGAGCAGTGCGAGCACAAAGATGCCATAAACATTTTCGCGCGCCACAAACACGGGCAAGCTGAAGGCAAATATGATTGCGCCACAAACCAGTATAGCGAGCAACATGACCTGAGAGTATGGAAAAGCGTTTAAATATTTAATAGTTACAAGTTCTTGATTGCTGTCTCACCAGAAAGTCCCAAACGAAGGCCACGCCCCAATAAGTGGCTAAATTAACGCCACAAAGCCTTTGCTGCAATTTCTCGCCCTTCATTCGTTCGTTTACGAGGAACACAGACGACACGGAAACAACCAAACTGATGGCAATCAGCAGGATGAATACCATAGAAGCGTCACCAGCTTGGCGCAAACTGTAGGGAGTTTCAAAAATGGTTTTAACACGTTTTCCATGTCGATAAGTAAGAGGTTGTAAATAAAAAAATCCTTTTTTTGGAGAACATAAAACTGAGCTCCTCAAACAGAATAGCTTGCACTTACACTGATGTCGTACTGAGCTCGGCCACGCCCAGCTTCCATGGCTCGTTAAAGGTTGTGATGCTGAAATTACTGTCGTCCATTTCCACCTGCAGCAATCTCGTATTCAAATCGTTCAGCCAAGCCATCATAGCGTGGTAGCCCTTGTTATTGTACCAAACAATAGCATTCGTGTCGTTGAACGAGTAGCCGCCATAACGCTTCTCGTGGTAATCATTCATCGAATGGAGTATCCAAAAGAATGCGTCGGTTGAGTTGTTAAACTCGCGACACGGGCTCTCCGATGAACAATGCTCCGACAAGCCTTCGTAAGCCGCACTCGTCATTGTTTTGTTCATTTGCATGCTAAACATTTGTGTAGTCTTGGGATAGAGGTCGCGGGTAAAACTAATCGTCTTGTCGTAATCGTCTTCCAAGCGATATGTAACGAACCACATGGCAAGTAGCTCGAATAGCGCCGGCAATACGATAACGCACAGGAGTATGCGATAGTTGCGGCTGAAATGCACGATTCGCTTGCCTAATAAACTTCTTATAGCCGTGGAGATGCTTAACGTGCTGCTATGCACTACATGCGGTACGCTGGAGGTCTTCAACTCCACAGGTTTCATTTGCAATTGATTATTCATAGCTTTATGCGCTTTATCTGCATGCAAGTCAGCGAAGATTTGTTCCAGATTACGACTCTCAACGCGTAAGTTGGAAATGAGGCCACGCTGCTCTATGTTTTGTAGATAGCTGAGGAAATCCAGTGACCTTCGAGAGCCACCTTGATCGTAAGGTACCTGTAAGCGTATATCACCGGTTTCGAGCCATTCCAGATCTTTAAAGGCGGTCAGCATTTCTCGACCGGTAGTGACAATTTCGCTTATTGTTTGCTTCTCGCTGCAGTGAATCAACGCATCATAGCCGGAGGTGCAGTACTCTTTGAGAGTGTCGGGGCTGTGCTTAACAATGATCTTGCCCTGTAGAAGAGAATTTTTTATATTAACATTTGGGGTTAGAGCGTAGGGCAAAGGATGTTTACATTCTTCATTATCACAATCACATCACTCAGATATTCAGCTTCGTCCAGGAAATGTGTGGCGAAGACAACAGCGCGTCCTTTTCTCAAACGTTGTATGAGCTCCCAAATATCTTTTCGTGCTTTAGAATCCACGCCATTGCATGGCTCGTCGAGAATTACCACATTTGGTGAGCCTATGATGAGAAAGAGTTAGAAAACAATATACATATATAGTTAGAGAGGAAGTCTTCGCTTCAAGTCTCACCTATGAACGCCAAAGCTACACAGAGCCTACGCTGATAACCACCGGATAGTTGACAAGCCTGATAGTTTTCATAATTGCCAAAGTTCAGACTTTTCAGCGTCTTATCCACCTCCGAATGATAGTTACGTTTCAATTTGATTGCAGCATAGAGCTCCAGATGTTCGCGCGCCGTGAGATTCGGTATCAAAATATTGTCCTGAGAGCACACGCCCACCTTGTCGAACTCATCACTGCTGGACATGGCTTGTGAGAGTATGACGCGACCTGTCGATTGTACCACCTGGCCAGTGAGCATTTTTCTATTGTAAAAGAAATATTATAAAATAAAAAAACTCACGAGTACAAGTTTTTGGGTCCAGAGGTTCACTTACATTATAGTACTCTTTCCCGCGCCGTTACGTCCCAGCAGACACGTAATCTTATCCCGTGGCAGCGATAAGTTAACGTCACTCACTGCCACCTGCTCGCCATACAACTTGCTCACATTGGTCATTGTGGCACCGACACTAGCATCCAGATCGTCACGTTGCACTTCAATGAAACGGTACTCATCTGCCGACGAAAATTAGAGAGAGATGAAATATGTAGGAAGCTCCTACTTCTCGGCTTGAAAACTCACCATCCATATAACGTCGCACCAAATGGCCGATAATGGCATAAATGACAGCATCCACTATGAGCATGATAAAGGCGAAGCCGAATTCACCGCTCAAACCATCTTGAAAGACTTGCACAAAGCTCAAGCCGGTTTCCTGCAATTCCATGCGCATAATATGGCTCCACGCGTGTGAGAAGGCCGTCGTGAAAGAGAGGTTCATGCAGAAGTTCTCGAACGCGTTCAGATGCGAATCGAAGAGCAACACGATGATGTAGGGACAGTAGGAGATAAAGAAGAGCAGCGCTGTGGCGACGGCACCAATTGTGGCGGATGTAAAGAAAGTTGAGCACATGTAGCTAGAGAAAAAAAGAGAAAAGATTATAGTTCAATATATGATGTAACAAGAGTACTCATTGAAGTATTGAGTTTGCCCAGGGAGTTGAGTTAGCTCACCAAAATGAAATTAAGCAAGCGCCGAAGACTATCAGGAAAATCATAAGGAATACGAAGGAGACATACGTCATCAGCCCGCCAACATAAAGTAACAGCGTCACCCCCAGGAAAATGAGAATTAGTTCGACGAATGTTACTATTATCCATGATGTGAGTTCAGAGCATGGCCGCATACCCATTGACCGCATGATCTACAATGCAAATACAGAGGCAATTTGTCAGCTTAATGAACTTCCGAATTTATGACTATACTTACCATACTATTCCGACTCTCACGCATCCAAATCATGTGACGCACGCAATTGGCGATTTCCACAACCAGGCCCAAGAAGAAGCAGACTTGTATGGCCTGCGCCAGGTAGATGCCCGTTTTCATGCTGTGAAATAGAGAATGATAATGAACATCCTCGAACCGAGCAAAGTTTAAATTCTAAAGACTCACTCGTCATGTGTGTAGGCGGGATAGGGAAATTGTTTCGTGTACATTTGCAGAGCATCCACGCCGTGTTTGCTCAGCTCATCTGTATTGCTGCTACTAAATGAGTTTAGTAAGTCGAGCAGAGCTTGGCGTCGTCTCCGCGTAGTCACCTTCAAGGCATCGTCCATATTTACCATTGTCTCAATGGAACTGGGATTAGCCGTATCGTCAGTCACTTTTGTGTAGGTAACTGATTTCTCTTTACTCGTCGTAGCCCAATCATCCTCCTCATCTTCGTCTTCACCAAAACCACTACCCGTTTCAATTTCAATCGATATCGGACTGTGGGTGCTCAACTCGAACGATGCATCCTCAGTTGCGTTTTTATGCAACAACTTTTGATGTCTTATGATACCCATATCGATTGCATTCTTTATCTGTACGAATCCACGATGATATTTCATATCCTGTATCATGCTACGCGCTGGACCTGGGAACCAGAAACGATTCTTATTCTCAAAAGTCGGTTGCGTATTTTCCGTGTCCATGTGCAGCTTATACGACACCTCGTTGTCGGTCTTATTGAAATAAGCCGCCGCAAAGAAGAGACGTTTCTCATTTAATTCGTATGCCTTGAGCTGTAAATCTTTAGCTGTGGCCAGTGGTATAAAACGATCCACTGAAAAGCACTCTAAGATATTTTTGATTGTGCTTATAATGTCGTAGACGAGTGGATCGGTTTGGAAGCGATTAACAATGGTTACGATTTCATCGACATCGATGTCATCTCCGATGTAGGAGCGTACAGTTGGAGAGGTGGCCAATTTGAGCAGACTATCAAAGCTTCTTTGGAATGATTCATCTTCACGCAGTTTGGTAACGATGTCCAGAACTGCAACTGACAGCCGTTGCAAGCGGTTCAATTCCTGGAATGTTGTGTTGGCCTGAAAATAATTGAAAGGTATGGTATTAGAGTACAAAATGAAAGAATAAAAAAAGAAGAAATATCTGACTCTATTTTATGTATTCTAATTTCGACAAATGTTTAACTCCGATCCGATTCCAATTACTAGGTGCGCTCCGTTTTGCTCGATACAGAAAGAATTCGAGAGAGTTTTGCTGGGCGAAAATCTTTCCAGGTCCTATTGATGATGTCTTTCGAAGAATTGAACAGACCTGTAATCTTTACCTAGACATCTCTGAACGACTTTTAGATGGCTTCTGTTCCGAGTTGCGATAAAAATATGTGGAAATTTCAGCAAGCCAAGTTCCTCTTACCCTAACTAAACAAACAACAAATTTGAACCTACTCATTTAATACCCCATCTCAGGAGACACTTTGGCTGGCTGTAGAATCTTTTCTTCTAAAATCCCGATTGTAGCTTATGCCGATCCAGCGGGTCTCACTACGTTCATAGTTTAGCGCGTCACTCTTAACTGTGTCCGCCTTCGTCTACCGAGTGCATGACACAGTCCATAGTTTTCTCCATAATGCAGACCTAAGTTCACTCTGAAAGTCTCTTCGCCTGACGAAACAAGTTTAATACTTGGGTTTCCCCTACTTTAATGGAACTGCTAGGTTCATTATTACGTACCCTTTCTTAGCCAGTTCCTTAAAGCACATGTGGCCTGGCACCCAGAAAATGCATACCCTCGTTTTTGAGATTTTATCGTTTTATTCTTGTCGCAACCACAGCCAACTTCGTGTTGTGTGAAAATTCGCTATCGACGTAAATGTATTTTCTCTTTCTTTGAAAGCCTGCACCCTGCAGTAGCTTGGAAGATACTCCAATGTTTTCGCAGCTTAAATGACTCTCATAACTCTAGTCGAGGGAAGTAAACTAAATCCTACGCTCTTTCGTTCATTTTAGAACCATCTTTAAAAATATTCAGAACTTTGTCTGAATATTTGCTCCAGCCATTCGCCTCTGTTGTACTCGTAGCTGACTACAGCTTCGCGTACTACTGCGCCTGTAAGTTCGGATTTTCAGCTGCCCAAAATAGGCTGTGGCCCTGTAGGTTGTGCGTTTGGAGTGTCACCAAAGGTGTCAAGACCCTTTCTGGCCTACTCAGATATATTAGCTTATCCAAAACCTTCCATAACTCGCTACCTAACACAATTCCTAGGTATTTAGTGCTAGGCTTGAGTTATAAGGTGGTATTTCGCCTTTGATTCGATCCAAACTGAAATTTTGTATTTTCTGGCATACCTTAAGTCTTGCTAAACGCTTACCACCTGCCATGACTGAGACATCGTTCGCATAAGTTGCAACCATGTCAGCTCCTTCTTTCATTTTCTTCACCAATCCATTAACCGCATAGATCCAAAGCAAGAGAGATATTACTCCAGCTATGTAGTTCCTCTCCTATGTAGTTCCTCCCTGCACGTCATTGTATGCTCTAGATATGTCGAGAAAGATGCCCAAAGCATATTTACCATTTAGCCGTAAACTTTTCAAGATTTAACCGAGCTATTAATTTGAAACTCTCCCCTCTAAGAAGACCATTTTTTTACTTAAAATTTGAAATCAGAAGACACAGCAACCGCTTACAGATGACCTTGAGGCAGCAACTTGCTCTATCTCGTCAACTACCCGAACCTTACCCATCAACATCCCACGCCCTCTGAGTTCCATATCTCTGCTCGATAAAATTCTACTTTATTCATTAAAAATCCCATCCCAATAAGCATATGTCTAGCTTTTTGGTGTTTCTTAGTTCGGCTTCATACTTACATGCGTCATAATTGACAGGGTATCCTCCGTGACAGGTGCGAATAAAATTTTGCCATGTATAAGGGGTTTCACCACATTCCAAGTGAGTTTACCGGTCGTTGTAGTTGTAATATTTAAATAAAGTTGTTTGCAGTATTTGGCTGAGAAAATAGAGACAACAAATAAATATTTTCTATTTAAAAAAAAAGATTCTTTTTTTACTCACTGGGCATTATACTAATTTCATCGTCATTGATTTTGCTGAAATCTTCGGTATTATAGAGAATATCATTAACTAACGGTATGGTGTCGGTGCTGGGGAATGGATGGCCACACATTAAGTAGCCAGCTTTTACGAACGTTTTGCGATCTAGAGGGTGAGTAAAATAGTTTAAAAATAAAAAGAATTATAAAAAATAGAATTATTGCAATTGTCTTAAAATTCTTATGGTACAAACACTGTTAATTTGAACTAATTTTTCTAGCAGAAAGATATATTCAGTAAGCTTTTTAGGTATGATACCCACCTGAAAACAATCGCATTATATCGAAGGAGCCATTCAGAAAGTTCTCCACTTGCGGCACCAAACTTATAACATTACCGACGCTTACTACAAGAAATATAGAGAAATGAAAAGATATCAATTTGTTTGATTAAAAATAAATAAATAAAGCTAAATACATATTTTTATTGAAATGTGCATTCGCAAATTAATGTCAAGTGTAAAGGTGTAAAGATTTAAATCATTATTTAACGAACTACTGAACATTTAGTGCTTTGAGGTCGGACAAATGTGAGAATAATCTTTTATCAAAGTGATTAAATAATCATTAAAAATGCAAACGCGTTTAATTGGTGTTTAAATCATCTATGTTCATATGTACATATGTACATACAAGTATGTTTGTATGTCTATAAGTACTTACGTCGTATCTCGTTGAAATGTCCGCCCGTGACCACCGCCGTTACTGCATTTATGAAATTCGCCTTTTCCGGCAAATCGATGACAGCGTTAAACATGCGATCGTCGGTGACAAATATATTAACGATATCGATAATTGGCTTCATACTGAAATTACAATTAATGCAATAAGCAACAAATGTCATGTGTACATAAATAGTTAATTAACTTCTTTGTACTTTCTTGTACACACATATATATATATATATATATATATATATATATATATATATATATATATTATTAATAAAAAATACACATCTGTACATAAGCTTGTATCGGAAATAATTCCGTATAAAATCCATCTAAAGCAAAACTAGGATGCGAGCGAACTTAAGAAATGAATTTTTGTTGGGACAAAATCTATGAGTTTTTTAAATTAAAAATTTAGATTATTTATTTAAACTAACCTTCAGTTATTAGCTACCAGTTCAAATAAAGTAAGAAAATAGACTAAAAATACCGAGAACTGAAGAGGAAAGAAAGATGCATGTGAGTCACAAGAGTAATTCTAGAAAATTCTATGAAAATGTACAGAAGGTTTTGAGACCCTTACATACTCATGTAGACCCAGCGTGAAGGGAGTGAACACTTACGCAATCGGCTGAATGGCAATGAAATTAGCGAACCCGATTCCCTAATCGGTGCCGATGGAACATATGTTTCATTGCCCTACTATGAAGAAGTTCCTATAGCAATTACCCGGTTGAAAAATAACAAACCGGTAGGTGCCAAGTTATTCAAATGCGACAAGGTGCTTGTATTAGCCTCTTTGCGTAAAAAAATCGGATGAAGTCATACCGGAGAATTAGAACCCAAGTGTGCTCTACACAATCCACAAATAGCAATTTGCCGTGGAACAAGCATCCTCAATAGCGCTTATGAGGTACTAGAAAGCGAGAGACTAAAGGCAACTGTCAACAAGCTCCAAGTTCTGCTTCTTCCAGACTTGATTAAAAAGCTAACCAGATGAGTCTGGTAGGGAACGAGAACAAAACGAAATATCTCTTGTCATTAAACAAACAGTCGTAGCATTTGGGGCTAGGCGCCCACGTCACTGTTGTCTGATGTAGATAACTTCGTCTATCCCCCCTTAATAACAAAAGCTCGGGCAGCCTTGAAATCCAACGCAGAGTTCCGCTAGCCATCGGGAGCTAATTTGGACTGAGTAGGCAATTGAAAAAGTCCTCTCCCGATGAACAGAAACCAAACTTTACAAGCCGTTCATAATTCTCGTCCTGTTTGTTATGTGGGGCGGAGGCATGGACCATAACATTATCTGATGAGTCGGCGTGGAAGTTTTCAAGAGAAAGGTTTACAGTACTCTGTAAACGATGCCGTTGACAGGGATATGTGCAGTTCAGCGGTTAAGCAGGCTAGATCTTGTGGTCCGGATGAAAAGATTTATCTCACGCTGACGCCGTACAAGACAACCCAATAGCCATTTAATTTATAAAACCGACTCAGCTGATTATTTTTTAGCGTACAAAGCTGTCAGTGTAATTTTTTATAAAGAAATTTGAAATAAACTCAGCTGACGATTTTTTTTTCCTAAAAATACGAAAACTGGAATTCAGGACTAAAAATTTTCAGCAATATAAATACATTGTTATCATATATGTAATTGATTGGTATTTAAATTCGGGTATATACTTAGAAAGATTATTATTATTTTTTAATTAAATTTAAAAGCATGCAAAACTTTTGGCAGCTATTCTGTCTTATGAAAGGCAGGTTTGTCAGAGAAGGGCGCCAAATGGCTGACTGACTAATTGGTATGATGAAAGTTCACATATGTACATACATATATGTGGGAACGTGTGAACAGTACATTAGGACATTATAAAGTAACTTTAACGGACGAATACAACACTGATACTGACAACACGTAAACTCGGACATAAATTTGAACTAACGAACGAACTGAATAAAAAACGACAGTTACCACGACACTACGAAGCGAGACGGATGTAAAAGCTAATTATAGCACTTAAAATAAAGTTATTGTTAAATTAACTATTATCATTAAATAAAGTTGTTAAATTAATTTATTATCAATAAATGAAGTTGTGAGATGAATTAAACGAAGTGACTATTATTTGGCCCCACATATATAATATATTATACATACATACATAAATAAAAGAGTATACGATTTACTTACGGCGCATTTTTCCAACTCGTGGTCTCTTCGTAAGGATTTGTGGGCAAACACTTGTTTTCCAAACTGCAAATGTAGGAATAAAAACTTGGTACCACTTGATTTTTGGTTGGCAATAGCCGTGTGGGAAATTGACAGTCTTCTATGTGTTCGGGTCCGAATTTGAGACGAATGAGGTAGAGCAAGATGAACATCAGGCATGGCCAAATTAATTGGATAGCCGTCATAATCTGAAAATTAAATAAATTAAAGAAATATGTATATACATATATATATATATTAATTTTATATATTTTATATAGATAAGTACTTTTTTGTATTCAATAAAGCATAGAAGCTTACCGGTTGTCGTAGCCGCACTATACCATCTTTGCGCAGCATCGCCCGAAGTTGGCTGCCGCTAAAGGATCGTTGTAGATGCATTTTTTACTTGTGGTTATTATTTATTTTTTTGAAATATATTTTACAATTACGACAACATCTGCAGTGTTTGCGCGCAGTGCTCAAAAGCAACCTGATCTCCCAGTCAATGCAGCGTTTGGTGGTCTGAAAGCGAGAGAAAAATAATGAGAATTTTTATATATAGTACAAGTAACAATACAAAAACAAATTTTAGTTATTACAAATATATAAAACCAGAAGATCCCACAAGATTTTATGGCTTTATGTATTTTCTTCAAATTAAATTTTGTGGATGGCATAGTGTGGTAACATTCGAAAAGATCGGTCCGACCTACTAATAGTATTGAAAACAAGTCAGCTAATGTCAACCACTTCGCGTTTATTTCTGGCATAAAATAAAAAGCCCCTAAAAGGAAATCCATCGGCCGTTCTCTGTCCTTAATTTTTTGGAAAAATCTCCAAATTGGAAGAGGAGTTGTGCCAAAAATCGCTTTAGCGGCTACAAAACGTTAATGATATATATATAATTGAACTTATATACATACATATGTATCTTAATTTTTGAAAATCTGTCATTGTTGTGATGAATTTTCAGTTCGATAATAGAAATAAATCTTCCATTTGCCCTCCGAGCGATCTGGTTACTCGCTTTTTTTAGGGAATTTACAAATTCTTCATGACTTCCAACTTTATGTGATGAGTTGGCATTAAAACTTCCTGTAGAACGTTCTTTTTGCCAACGCTTTGCCAACCCTTCCTGGTACAATAAATGAAAATACACCACTGTGCTAGGCATTTCTGAGGAGGACTTAAATGTGTCATTCAAACCTTCAATATTGGTACACAAATCAAATCGTTTCCTTGGGAAAGGCAGAAATTCAACTCCTTACTAAATAATTCAAGCCAGTTGGAAGACTCTCCTGACAAAGGTAACTCCCGTCAATTTTTTAATATTAACAGAACAAGAAGAAAAAACACCGACGTTGCCATAACGAAGTCTTTATTACGGATTATCCGTGACGTCTTTATACCTTTCGTGAACTCATCAAATTCAATTATATTGGATGGTCTTAGAACCACAACCTCATTTATAAAAAAATCGGTTGTTTGGAGGCTGTAAGTTATAGTGGCTCGATCAAAACGTTTTAAAAATACATCAGCTTTCCAAATTCGGTTGAAATCTCTCAAAACTTACAAACAGATAGACAGACGGACATTAATAAATCTACATAGCTCATTCTGAAGCGATCGGAGTAAGTTTTTTGGGTGTATCTCTTCTTCTTCTGTTACTTACATTCTTCGGACTAAAGTTAATAAACCAAATGAAAATTAGCTATAAACACTAAGAAATACAACATATTTTGTCGGTCACCCTATATTCATATGTATGTATTCATATGCGCACACGTACAAAATTAACTAGAACTTACATGTGACACATTAAAAATGAATGCATATTTGATAATATTATATTTTAAATACTATTTTTTGTTTTTAGGTTTAGACTCAGTTTCGTTTTCGATTATCTCTTTCATCTCATTATAGAATTATGGATTATCAGTGATTATATTCGTTTGCACATACTCGTGTGTATGGACTTACGTAATGTGATCGGCTGATCATTGAATGCTGGCACATTTTTAAGTGACTTACATAGCATTGTACAATACATACGAGTATATATATATATATATACATCTATAAATTTATTTAATTACAACCTTGGGTTCCATAACCAAAATATTTTGATTTAAGAGTGAGAAATCTAGAAGTTTGATCAAATTAAAAGAGCTTCAACATTCGTCTAACAAAACTTAAAATTCATTGCATAGAAGGTTCGGGTGTACAAAAAAAATATTTTGACACTCGTGAGACCTAAAACTGGATCATTTTTATTTTGCTTTTTTTTTGGCCAAAAACAACACACTAATGATGCCACAGCCACCGTATTCCCCAGATCTGACCTCCTGTGACTTTTTCTTGTTCCCTAAACTGAAGAGGCCCATGAAAGGATGACGTTACGCTACCATTGACGAGATAAAGACTCCATCGAAGGAGGAGCTGAACGAGATAAAAAAAAAATGATTTTTTGAAGTGCTTCGAAGATTGGAAAAACCGTTGGCACAAGTGTATAATATCTCATGGAGATTACTTTGAAGGGGACAAAATAGATATTCATGAATAAATAAATAATTTTTGAAAAAACACAAAATTCGCAATTTTTTTGAACACACCTCGTACATACAAGTAAATATACATCTATAAATTTATTTAATTACAACCTTGGGTGCCATAACCAAAATATTTAGATTTAAGAGTGAGAAATCTAGAAGTTTGAACAAATTAAAAGAGCTTCAACATTCGTCCAACAAAATGGAAAATTCATGGCATAGAAGGCTCGGGTGTACAAAAATAAATATTTTTACAGTCGTGGGACTTACAACTGGATCATTTTTATTTTACTTAAACGATGATATTATTTTTAAATATATATGTATGTAGCATTTTCATAGTTCATCTTGACTAAGGGTACGTGCAAATGGCATTGCATGCCGATTTCTTCCCCATGCAAATACGATTAACAATTGGAACGGTTATAATAGCTGTAATTGTTCGAATCAGGTAACAGTAAAGTTGAACTATTTAATTACAAAACAATAACGAAATATTTTATAAAATTACTAATTGAATAATTTGTCACAATTCCATGTGCTGAGTAACCGTTATTAAGTGTTATATGTTTGAATGAATTATTATATACATTTTTTGTATTGTTTTTTTTGCTAATAGGAAATGCTAATTTCAGTAATAATACAATAAGTTCAAATTTGCATAGATATGTTTAAAGTGAATAAATTAAAAAAAAAAAACTGTATTTCGCAATTTTTTATTTTATTCAATTAAAAATAAATAATAAATAGTTTTGAAATAAAAATTATGATTTGTTTGAAAAGCTAATAGTTCACTGCACCGCCTGACTTGGGAACCATATATAGGTGGAAAATTCCAATACTCGTCCAAGGTTGCGTAGAAACAGCTTACGCGATTAAAGCCGAGTCAATAATGGAGCGCCATTGGTTACTTCTTTTCATCCCTCGGCGACAAATTGAAGAACTAAGTGTAGTCAAGTGAAATCCGTCGTTATTGAAAAGTCCTTCCAACGTTGGTCTTCACTTTCCTTTGCTTTCACCGACGGCTGCAGTAAAGTTTCAAAGTTGTGGTAGCCGGCGTGGCCGCTGTTTCTTGATTCGTTGAACTATGTCAATGTCGCCGTATTTTTGGTACAGCTCGGCGGAATGTGCCGTTGCCAATGCGCAAAAGATCATAAATTTCTCTCGAAAACTTCCAACGCCGACTCATCGGATGTTATCAACGTCCAAGCCTCCGCTCTATATAGCAGGACGGAAACAAGGACGGACTTGTTGCAAGAGCGATTCTTCGTTGGTTTTAAAAGCTGACATTGTTGTTGGTGTTAATGGTGGTTTCAAGATAGACGAAGTTATTTGATAACAGATATCTCAAATTTTACCACTTATTACTTGATTTATTCGCCCTTACATCCTTATCCAGTTTGAAGAACACATAGCGAGGCGCATTGGATGAGGTTATAGACGCATGCTATACTCACTTCCTACCATTGCGTCTATGTCGCACTTTTTGGAAACATAAGCAACCCTAGTGCAAGATGCGGTAGCCAACCCGCTACACACGGGTCACACTTATGGAAATGTCCGATCGCTTAATTGGGAAGAAACTTCTGCCTAGCTGACATCCTTCTAGCTGAGAGCTCGCGCAGTGTAATTTAGGATACATTTATTTTTATAGAGAGGCTTTTGCCTCAAGACTACTCGCATCCGGCTCACAACTGTAACTATGGTTAACAGACGAGAGGCAATGTGTGGTAGTTTATGGTCACAAAATGATTTCCAATTTTTGTTCCAAATTTTTAGATTTTCAGTGGCTTGACATGTGGTTTCATTGCTATCAGACAACAAATCTTTGAGCTGTCTTCAACCAAACAACCATATCAGGCGTGAAGAATGTGGTATGGAAAAAATCGAATCTCGTGCCGTTATGAAGTTTCTTACCAAACAAAAAGTCAGTTTGGAAGATACTGCATGAGATGTCATGGGCTTGCTGCACCTGTTGTCCGGTGAAAACCATGATAACCATGATTTATAAGTAGCAAAGTTTATTAAAACAAGGAAATTAATCCCTTGATGAACAGCCGAGGCCAAGCAGAACCATCGAGGTGACCCCACTCCCGAGCTTCACCATAGGGTTGAAATATTGTCATCGAATAGGCTCGACTAAAGAAGAAACATCCGACCCGATAAAACCATATCGGCCCAGACCTCGACCGAATAATTAAGAAGTATCATAGTAAAAAAGCAAGCCACACTTATGGATCTATTGGCACGACATAAAACTGATAGGTGGCGGCTGATTATAGTCTTAAATAAATATAATAACTACACTAATCACATCGCCTTTATAATTCAAATTATAATTTGAAAAATTATCATATATAAAAAATATAATAATTAGCATTGATTCGACGAGTTACGATTTGAACTTTAGCTCGCATTAATCATTTAGGCGACCTTTAAGCACTAAAATATAAATAAATTAATAAAACAAGTATCTTGTTATATAAAATTCTAAAATACAATAATTCGTAATTGCACATTGTGGATTTGCAAGTAGACAAAAACGTTTATTTGCAAAGAGATCTGCGTGCACAAAACCGGTTACTCTCCAGCGAGTATTTCGCAGCAAGAAGCTAACTAAAAAAATATCAAAACGCCTTTGCGGCAATCTGTCAGCCATTGACCAGTACTAACTCAGTCGCTTGGTTAGTCAATTACTTGATCAACCAGTCAGTCTGTCAGTTAGTCAGTCGGTCGTTAATAACTTTCATTCGTTTATTTTACTTTCATCGATCGCTACTTTTCTTTCCAACTCATTTTCCCCATTTCTCTACGAATTGTCTCACTTTGCGCACGTGTCAGCTTGCTCCTGACCCCATTAACTAGTTTTTCTTCACACAGATAATATTCAATTTTCTTTTCACTCCGAAGTCGCGTAATAAACTCGCCGTCTATTGTGCAAATGTGTGATTATATAATAGAAAATAGTCGACA